TGTGACAATTTGTTCTCGGTGGACATGCCGAAATACACGAAAAAACGCACGCATAAACGTCCGAAAATACTTTTTTCGATGGTAACGACGTACGCACGATCTCTCGCGTGTAGTCTTGTAATAAATCGTAAAACGACCGAACAGTTTCACACGACATTGCTGCATGCGTGGGCAGCTTTGATGTGGCAATATGGCGCCGTGCCCGGCCGTCCTTCCGTCCCACCTGGATATATAAAACGGGCATTGCGGTTAATTAACGAGCATTACGTTAGGTGCCAATCTGCATAATTAGCGGCCCGCGCGTTGCATCGAGTGCGTTAGTCATTTGCATGGTCCCGTGTTCGATATCGGTCTAAAGGAATTGCCAATCGGTAAAACGAATTTCCACGCGATCGGTCAGAAAGATTTTTTCAGGATTTTATCTTCCACGGCCGGAAATACTTCGACGGTAGTCAAGATGCATCGTCGTAATTGTTGTGGAAAGTGAATCGCACGAAACACGAAGATTCCGCGCAGAAATAGAGTAAAGAAAATGCATAGGGGGAAAAGACCGCGACCCTCTTAAACGAGATTCCTACCGGTTACTGCCTCACGTCTACCCGTTATTGTAGCTACACGGCGCAACACGGCTACATTCCAGCTGAATCTAAATGCTTCTGTCACGGCCTGCAATAACCCTAATGGTAGGAACACGATGTTCCTGCTTCTGGGTGAGCAATTTCTACGGATAGATCGTTTTCCACGCAAAAGAATACTGATTTTTTCAGATCTTGCGACAAACACAAACCACCCTGGCCGTCTCGGTCCCGTCGATTACGTACGACTATTAACTACATCCCCGTGATAACAACAAGCCCGTGTCGTCCGATCGAAGAAAACGGGTGCCCAGTGTTGGCGAACCGTGTCGTTGATATCGGAACGATCGTAATGCTAAATCAAGACTCGACCGTTTCGAGATATCAATGATAGAAGACTAAGTAGTCTAGGCGCGCATACGCCAGACACGATTATGCCCCGGCAGAGCCATAACGCGGTTTTATTCGCCGGTATCGAGGAACGTTCGCCGAGTTAATCAGACTCGTACAACGTCCAGGTTTATCCTACAAGCCAGGCGCACAATGCACTAAACATGTTCGCGCATCCGTCGTAAGTGGATCTACCCTACATTTCTTACGTGATTGCGACATTTAGATGGTTACTTCGCGATAAGCAGAGAGAAAACCGGAGATTCGATTATAATAGAGGCGGCTTCGAATCATCCGGACGAAGCTCGAGAACATAAACGGCGACTGAAGCAGAAACGTATAATTTTCACAATCGGTAAACGTACGTCTCGACTAATCTCGAGACAGCTACTGCCGTCGTTATTTATCTATTTAACGTTAGTTAAATGCCACTCGTGAAATCGCTCGGCTCCGAAATTCATGGCGCCGTGATTAACCAGAAGCCAGCCGATTGCTCGAGAAGACGAATCACGGGTTGCGCCACGCGAAAATTAGAAAGGCACTCGCGGCGCTCTACCTAGTTGCGATCGCGCCTCCGTTCTCACTAGCGAGAAAACTGCGCGTACATAAGTATCCTACTCGTGCGTTTCATATGCGCCAGTCCGATATCTCGGTGTGCCTGACACTTTGCGCAACGCAGTTGTTTGTGCCCTATGATTCCTTCATTACGGAAGTAAATCGAATTAAATAGGGCGATTATACCAACGGGTAGGTACGAACAAAAAGGATGTGGTTCCAAATAAGTCACTTTGGAATTTCCATGTTCAACCATATATTGATGATATTCAATCGATTCAATACCCAAAATGCTCAGTGGAAAGTATCGGTACGTATCAAACGTTTGGGTACTTGGTATCAAGTATCAATACCGATTTTTCTTGAATCGATATCAATCCAATACGGCACCGAAACCCGTTTGATACCTCACAAAAGTATCGATACCCATTTGATATCTACACGAAGGATTCGAATAAATATGCTGCCGAAAAGTATGTATTCATGTTTCGAGTTGATAGGTATCAAATAGGTATCGATTCTTTTTGATACCTCCGTCTTTGATATGTATCAATAGAGTATTGAAACTTAAAGAAAGGGTATCGATAATATTGATACGATATCAGTCACATCACTAAGTATCGACATTGCGCACCCTCTCTCCTCTCGATACAGATGAGACAGAGACACTGTTCGCACTTTCTTCGGCCTCGATCCCCTTGCGGGAACCTCGATGCTTACGTATATCGCTTTCGCAATCGTTATTAGAGGTTGTTGCGCAAGCGAGAGCGTTCTGTCCTATATGAAATATCGGCCGCGTTCAATCTCAACCACGGATACGTTGTAATTAGCGTGCAAGACACTGGGTGGAAGCATGGCGAGCTCTAACGTAGCGTGAATACGCGATATCGTAGCTCGCAGGACACGCGGCGTCTGTAAAAATCCAGATGCCATTTCAGATAGGTGCCAGGAGATTCGCGCCACGTTGCGGCGTTACTTGCGTTGGAGACTTTGCCGCGCGACGTACCAATCTTCGCTTCGGCCTGCCCCCAGTTATTCATCCGAGTCTGGCTTTTACATCGTATTAACGCTCCTCCTGTAATAAGTCATAGACGGGCCGCTTATCGGGTTATACGATAGAAACGAAAACAGTGTTAACGATTTTCCTATTCAGAGATTCGTGATTCGAGGCGTCGATAAATCTCGCGGCACAACACGATAATATACAAGGCGGCAAGGTAATTGCACGACGGAAAGGTATCGAGAAACGATCTAATCGTTCCCTACGAGCAGATGCGCTGACAGATGCTCGGCAAAGACTGTTTTCAAACACTCGCTACCTATTCGCCTCGGGTCGGTATAATCAGCCGACCGTAAACTGACTCTGCTAAGCCCTTTCGTTACGATTATTTTTCTTTTTCTACGTCGCGGTAAGCCTGTTACAAAGAACGAACGCTACTTAATCATTTCGTGTTGCGATAAAGTTCTCTTGCCAATGGGGTGTGCTGTGCAATGCGCCGAGCAATGGTTCATTAACACCACGAACGAGAAGCAGTGGCTCGGAATGAGACACTTTTCCTTATCTCTTGCTCTGTTTCTGCGCGAAGTACGAGCAACGATCCATATGAATTTTATACCAATGAACGGTCTTAGATCCCGTCCCATGGACAGAACGAGGTTATTCTTACGTGGAACGGAGATTAAACTGATCTGCTCAGAAGTAATCGGCAAAGGTTCTCGATCGGACCCACGTCGATTTGCAGTATCGGCGTCACGGTCGATTCAGTTCTTATCAATCGATTCGAAATCGTCCCAGCGTTGACAAGACTTGTCCACGGGTAAATCATTGGCTCTTCTCGGTTGGCCACGAGCGGTGACATGTTCCGTAGACCCCTATCAGGACGAGTCTATTAAATCTGCAACAGGACGGAATGTCTGCCACGGCCATTACCATTCCGCCAAGTCGTAAGTTATCTTCGCTGACAGTGGGCGCGCATAGAAATGTCTTCGGCCGGGATACCTCTTGACTTCTTCTTCTTCTTCTTCCTCTGGCTCTCCTCCTTGCTATTCTTTTACCCTCTTCCTCTTCTCATTCTGCTCGAGGCCGTCTTTGGTCGCACTGTCAGCCGCCGGGACCTGTATCAGTCTTCAGAATCAACGCGCTCGACCTTTTTCGACGACCTCCTTGTGTATTACGTTATAAAACTCGTTAAATTGTTAATAAGCCTCAAGTTTTTCGCACCACTTTCGATCCTTATCGGTTGGTTGTAATCCAAAGAGGAAAGAATTGCACGATATTGCGCGTATAAATGTATCAGGGACACTGTAGGAAGGGAAGAGAATCTGTGCGTGTCCGTATTCTCTAACGTACCTACTATTCGATAACGTTTGAGGAGCCCGTAAAGGGATTCGACGTAACGTTCCTTTTGCAGCGAAGGTCGCCATTTGGCATTCAACGACCCTACAACGGAGCCTATCGAAGGTTCGGACGCGAAGAGGTGCTCGAGACGGGTCGTGGTGTAACCGATTCGTATAAAATTTGCATCGCATTCCAGGCAGTCGTTGGTACCGAGAGTAATAGTGGTCGTCGTGCATCGTTGGTAGATCTCTCAGAAGATCTCACCTCGGCACCTCCGCGAAACTTACGGACACGAACGTAAAGAAGAGAACCGAACAAGCGAGACAAAGACGTTGGAAGGGAACGAAAAAGAGGTAGAAGAAGGTGGAAGAAAACCAGCAGCAGCCCTTTCGTTCGTCTCTCTTTTCGAGTCCCTCCAATTCTCTCGCGGCCATAAAGGTTTTGTTGCAGTCGGATCGCCGTCGAGTTGAACGGTAAATCAAGATGGTTGCTTTACGTAATGGAGTTGCACCGGCCACATCTTAATTAGGAAAAATCTGGAAGCACATCCGTTTCGAGCTCGGCGATCCTAGGTGGAGTTAAGGCGCCCATTGCATTCTCATTAACCGTCCGCTTTTGAATGCAGCCTATGCACCGCACTGCGGATCGCTCGTTACACTATTTATCTTGAGCCTCTGTTTCGCAGAAAACAAGCTCGTGTTCGTAATAATACAACCGCGTGCCCAGTATCCGTATACAATCTATCAGGCAGCTTTTCAATACGCGCGCTTATAAATACCCTATTAAACGCTGTTCAAACCGATGCATGTTTTTTTTTTTTTTTTTTTCATAACCACGAACACGGAAAGACGAGAGTTTTATTATAATAATTAAAACACCGTTACCCCAGGGAGGCCAAGTTTCCATTACAGGATTAATGTCGAAACGACGAGATACGAAGCGTATTGGTTTTAATGGAAATCCGTCGATGTCTAAATATTCGTACGTCGAGCGAGTTAATCGTCGCGTCGTTCATTCCGATGATAAATTCACGTGTACGTCGATAGACAACGCGATCGTTTGCTGTCAAAATTTTCTCGAGTTCTGTACGTGCTGTTCGAACCGCGTGGTCGTTGGTTTTCGCCCTGCGGGGATACCACAACATGAACGTTAGTCTAAATTTACGTGTATTAACCAATTACGTTTCTTAATCAACTACTCGGGAATTATCGTGATGACTTCTGAAACAAACGGCGAGGCTCCGTGTCTCGAACGCCTTCATCGAGAAGTACGAAGCATAAGTTTATTACGATTTACCTAACCTTCTATGGTGCTCATTATATTCCGGCGCAGGCTATTACCTGTTTAGAAACATTCCCGAATAAAATCATCGAGCTCAACGATTTCGTCAATGAATATATGCCAGAATCTGTTAAGAGTAGCAAATACGACGAGAACATCGGTGGACGGAAATCCAAGTGTCAGAATACCCTCTGCAGTACGAAAAATTGGGACTTGAACAGCATCTCGGATTATGGTAGTTTAATAATGAATCATAAACGTTCGAGAGTAAACATGAAAATCTATCCCCCTTGTTTTCCTTCGATTCCTTCAGCTTCGAGTTACTACTCTCTGCCCATTTCCGATCGTGGTCGATCGCGACACGGAGTTTGCAAAAGAAGATCCTATCGATCGCGAGGTCTAGCTGGTCTATCAAACACACGTCGAAGACCAGGACCACTTGGACAACTTCTAGCCTTTATAGTTGGTAGTCTTGCGACGTGCACGAAGAAAATTGTGATCGATCCGTCCCAATACATTATACACAGCATAATTTCTACGTTCTTTCAAAGGTAAGACACGCAATCGATGATTTTTTCCCCCCGGAAACTAAATCGCTATCAATTGCATTGTTCTATGGTAAAGGCGGGAGTTGAAGAACGTACAATGTGGTCCTTCACCGAACTGGGACGGCTCCACTTACGTGGCCACGCTCAACAAAGATACCACGATCATTGGTAAACTTATCGATGTTATGAGACCCGCTGCAGTGAAACTCATCGCCGACATTACAACCGTAAGTAGCTTCCCCTAGTCGTCGAACTGCCCAACGAAAGTAAAAATCATTTGTTTCGATTAGTCGAAACGCTGGCTCCAAGCAGTCACTTTGTACACTGCATCGCCATCGACCGAATTAACGAGCGCGACTCGTTGCATCGAGACCATCGACTGTTGGGCTTACGAGCTGTTCTTTCATCTCAAGTACCTTCAAGTGAATCGCGCACCACAGACCACCGACAAAGTACATAATTCTTTACGCTAATTGTACCGGTTACGTATCGTTGCCAGGCGCGGTGAATGCGTTCATTTCCCTTTCGAGTGAACGGGACCGTGACAACAATTTTCAATTGTGCTCTCAACCTTGTTAATGAAACTTTCGATTACGCCAGGTAACAGCCGAAGCAGAAACGAAGAATTCGGACGTGATGCACATTAACTTGTGGCATCGTTTGGCCCAACTTCGCGACAATTATATCATTCTGTACGATACGCTGCAAACTTTCGACAAAGTTCAGGGTATGGAACCAGAGAAACCGTCGGAATAACGTGCAATCGATGATGTACGTTCCCATCGAGAGCTACCAAAACGGCTGATTTCAACGAACCAAAGGACATCGATATCGTTCGGTGTACAGTTTTTCCAAAGCAGATCAATGCAAGCTGTACAACAGGTTTAACCCAAGTAGAAGTTCCGTCGGTCGAACCTCTCGCCCGTTTGTTTCGACACGATTGAGCTGACATGACACGCTATTGTGGCTAACATTTAAACTCCACGTCGAGAGAAGGGACGGGGGGCGCTGACTGGCTACGTGATTTTTGCTTCGACGAGATTGCACCACCTGACCTGCACTCACCGCTCGCTCCATCAACTTTTTCCCCCAAGAGTAATAGCATAGCGTAACCTACTTACAATTAGACAGATAAAACATCCAACCCTTTTTTATGATAAAGCAGTATTATCGGACAATAATTTCTACGATCGTTCCATATATATTACAAAACTGATTCTGTTTCAAATGTACGAAAATTTCACAATCTTTTCGGAATAGAAAATGAAGATTGCTCTGCTCGCGAAATATAAAAGGTTAAATACCGATGCGTTATGATCCTTCCAGTGTCGTCGATATGGGGAACCAGACGTTGAACGCGATAGTATTATTAACCACTTAGCGAGGCAGACGTATGCTGAATGCGTGCATTTCGCTTGATGGCGTTCTTTGAGTTCGTCTGTGATTCATCGAACGTGAGTAGCACTAGTTGTAAACTCGTAAAAGGTCGATACTCCGCGTGAATTCTAAGATTCAATAGGTGCTAATCTCGTAATAGATGTTGATGATCGGGCGAAAATGAAAGAGGAACACGTTGATTCATCGAACATTTCCAACAGGAAAGTTCTATTAGAACTAGGTTGCATCTGTATGGACAGCAGCTGCAACAAATTTTCCAGCAGATTCTATTGACGAATACTCACTGTGAATGCAACGACATATCTTTCAAGAGGAATACTGGAAAGTTTACAATACGATAAAAATGCTTTTCCTCATGGGATGATGGGCTAGATCGTTAGGTACACGTTAACGCATCCAGTTAAAGGTAAAAGCGTTAAACGAGTACCGATCTCAACTAACCTATGATCTTGGTTAATGGTTGATCGCGAGTTAAGCCTCGCTTCATCCATAACAGCCTCGAACGAAATCCCTTGTGTGGCTCCATCGTGCGAACGAACGGTAGTCACGACTCTGATTACTTATGGGGCCATGTAAAATACCGTAGAACCGCAAGAGAAGAAACACAGCCACAGAGAAAAAAAAGGGCTGTGAATAGCATGAGAAAGCTGGAGTAATAGTTTTATTTATTTTTCTATCGTTTCTGCGTCATCAAGCTTTCCTTACAAAGATATTAATTCATTTGTGCGATCGTGTAACGTTAATGATTCGAAAAATGAGACTGTGGTAGTAACTCGAAGAAATTGTTCGATAACCATACAGATTGAAATCGCAGATAGGCGGAAGTGTTCTTGTATCCGAGAAAGAACAGAGATCGTGGTCGTAAGATCATAGAGGCGACTACCAAGATCCTCGAGAACCGTTAGAGTTAACGATGAGTTCGCTTTCCTGGCTGTTCGCGATCTTTACGCCTTGCAATTCCACCGGTGGATACGTCCGCGATACCACGGTAGCGCGAAGAGGCGGCTAATAGGGTGAAGATCCGTCTAAAAGACTAATAACATGATCGTATTATTTCCAATGGATTTGTGGCTTCTGATAAGACCCAGAATTATTTTACGTTATCGGAAGAAGATCTCGTCAAATTGTCCAACTGTTGAATGTAAGTGTGAGTAATAAAAGCAATAATTAAAGTAGACGAGGCAGACGTATACTGTAGGTGATGCATTCGGACACAAAGTTCCATATTAAAGCGTCCACGTGATATCCTGTCCGGTACATTAGTATTTATGACAGAGGCTGAATTATAAAATGGTTTGGACCACGGTTCCAGTAACGGCATATCAAATCATTGATCTATTATCAGGAAGGATAAAAGGTACATACATAAACTGACCTCGTTCACCATAGTTTGTAGTCGTAAACGCACCGTGCGTGTTCGTGTGCGCATGCAATTTCACGCAGACAACGGTATCGTTTCACGAACGGTAGACATAACCGGAGGCCAACAATGCTCCTTTGCTCGTCGGAGTTCGTGCAACAGCACGGTAGAAAGGAAAATGATTTTATAATAATCATCAAGGCTTGCGCACGTTGTATCAGTCTTCTACCGTACAGCGAAACAGAATCGTGGGTGTGTTCGTCGAGCAACGTTGCTCGACCGGGAACAATGTGACATTATGGTAAATGACTGAGACCATTGTCGTGGCTTGAGGAACACGCTCGCCGTGTACTGTTACGTTTCATCTAACACGACCCGTTCGAACGTTTTTTCGAGCATTTCGACTCTTCTCGTCAGATCGAATGGGGGACACCCACCCTTGCAGTTTTCCCGAATACACTACACTTTTACGACAGACGATTGCCAATCGTTACTTGCCAATGGGAATTCTTCTTCCAGCCAATGTACTTTCTAAACGGCGGTGTAAAATTACAGAAACCGCGCTTCTTTTCCATGGATACTGGAATAATTTATAATCCAGGAAAACACGAAGCGCGGATCTCGAGTTTCAGCTGGCCGTCTAACCGCACTCGCGTGTCTTCATCTGCTGCGTTATACATATAGTATACATATGTATACGCAAGAACGGTCACCTAGAGATCCTTATACCTTGTCCTCGACGTACACCATGTTCTCCAATCCAATCCAATCCATGAAGATGCGAATCTCACAATCAGGAACATCGATTGTTCACCGGTGTCGCGTCCGTCCGCGTGGATTTCTCTTTCGAATCCGCCTGGAGTTGTAAATTCCAGGCTCGACCGTCGTGGTACGCGTCCGGTTGCGACTGTTGCCCGCCAAATTAATATTAGGCAACTGTTTCAATTTCTCTAGTGAGAAAAACGAATGATTGCTCGACCGTTGGAGCTGACTAATCGTGATGCGAATGTTGTCGAATGATTGTTCGATTGCGAGTTAATGCGAATCCGTGTGACTCTTGTCGAACGAGTGTGTTTTGCGAACGAGTGTTTGCGAACGAGTGATTTTAATGAATGTTTTCGACTGAATGTATCTTTTCGACTGTCTGTTTGAGTTTCGTGTGACGTCGCGCTTCCTCAAAGTTCGATGAAGGCGTGACCAAAACTCGCCTCCTTATTGGTGATGCCCTGAAGGGGAAGGCAAATTTCTCGGATTTTCCACGCGACGCGGAGGTGGAATACCTCTCCTTCAGGGCGAAGCGGATGTCAGGAAAATATCGCGCACGTGGTCGCGGTGCGAGTTGACCGCGACGAATTTTCGAGTCTCTCAACGGTAGGGTTTTATGATTATATTGTCTGCGAGTCAGCGCGCCCCGGTAAGGCCCGGCGCGGATGGGTCCCAGGTTACCGAGCGCATATGGCGGACTGCAGACCAAATGTTCGCTTCTTTTGTCTCTGATTCCCTTTGTCAACGAAATCAAAATTGCAAAGGGTCGGTCTTGAAAATATATAAATAGACTGAAAGAAGGAATAAAATAATAAAAAGTAACGGTATCGTCTGACTGTATAACCGTCGTTTCGGTCTACGACGGAACAACCGGACCAACGGGTTTTCCAGTCATATTATGAATATTGTTATACCCATTGACATAAATCTTTGATCCGTTAGCTTCGTGTAATTTCAACACTGTACGTAAAACGTAGCAGTACCTCGCCTACGAGTTTTACACGCGTTAGAAACACTAAGCGCAGAAAATCCCGGAAACTGATGTTCCCGTGGCATGTGAAACGATTCACGCGCGATTCTCTGCCTCGGTGTTTGCACATTCGATTTATGAACGGTCGAGTTCTTCGACTTATCCTCGTTACTCGCGCGTAAAATGGTAGTGCGACCATAAAGTCAACAGCCGTTTAGGAGCAATGTAAAAATAACACGTAAATCATCCTATAGCTACTGTACTTAATAACAAACGAGCAGAGAGAGTTTATTGCTCGAGAACGTTGCATCAATTATGATTGGGCATTATTGTTATTATTATTAGTATTATTATCATCGTCATCATCATCATCCCTGTTATTATCGTGGACCTCAGAAGCCATCAAAAAGTTGATGAAGGTAGCCGTGCGGTAAGCCACAGAGTACCGTGCACGCGAACTCATTGACAACCTATGTATATGTATATCGGTAGTCGTAATGTGGTGTGATGCAACATGAACTCGTCGGCTCGCATGGTGTCGTAATTCTAGAACCTCGGAAAAACGAGCTTCCATCGAAACGGGTTCGCCTAAATTTCGTTTCTCTGGGCGAAAACACGTACAGTCGACGACTCGATTCCTTACGTTTCATGTTTATAAGATTTCAGTCCCTCTATTACGATATGCATCGTATTTTATGAACAACGTTACCCAACAAATCGTACGATTGACAGTAATTGTTGTCCATGGTAACACAACACCGGCATCGACGCAAGGGATACATACGTACCGTTAGAGAGGTCTCATTAGCGTGGCTGATCTATAGCCGTGGAAGCATAATGGTGGAAAACGTCCACGTCGTGAAACGCAACACTTTCCACGTTACCCGGTGGAACCGATTGCGCAACCGCAGGTGTATATTTCGCTAAATGTTCGTAGAGAACCGAGTATCTCGTGGTCACGCGATGACGTTTATTCGTCTGGTAAAATCCGCTTCCTGGTTCCGAGGGCCCCTACTGGCCGAGTATCGTGAGGGGTAATTTGTAAGCCAGACAAAATTACCGATAAACCTATGCTTCTTGGTTACGTATTACGCAAGGAAAGGAAAGTTTGTAGTATCGTTCAATTTTGACGAAAGTGAGGTACGGCTGTTTTCGTCGATCACGCGGAAACATAGTGGATACCTACTAATAATTATAATCCTAACGCCGTGAGCGCCGGTCCTTAACGAAACTTGGAAAATTACCCACCAAGATCGATCCGAC